ACGGCTGCTGGGGTCCCCCAGGACTTGATTCCAGGCCAGGGGCTCAGAAATTCTTTCCAGGTGTGGTCTCAGCATTTGTAAAGTAGTTTTGAAGAAATTACAAGAAAATGGGGCAGGTTCTACTCTGAGTTGTAAACCTAGGGTAACTTCTCTGTTCCGTGCTATGTAGGTTTTTATACCACACTCATCACAGTGGCATCTAAACAGTAGTGCTTTAAGCCACATGACTATTTCCATCTGTTGTTCATGCTCTCATCTGCTCCCCAGAGAACGATGCCTGTGCAGTGCATGGTCTTGGTCTGTTTGGTGTCTGTTTTTCAGGACCAGTGTGTCTGTTGCTACGTGTTTATGTTAGGAGAGGCAGGGTCAGAGAATTGTGATTTGCACTTGGAGCAAAAAGTACAGAGGCTTGTGATGGCTTTTTTTTCCTGGGAAGTTCATGCCACAGTCTCATCCCCTGCAGAAAGTTCTGTCTCCCTTGACTACGGTGGAGTTAAGGCAAGGGTGGGCACAATACAGCTCGTGGGCTGAATATGGCCTGCCAACCCACTGGATCCAGCCCATGGGCCTTCTTTACAGGACCCTCAGGCACGGAGAAGCCAGCCACTTCAGAGCAGCCCCACACCACTTTAAGTGGCTGGCTGCTCCCTGTGGTTCTCTGCTCCAGATGCTGAGGGGTGGAGGAGGCTTGGCGTGCTGCCCTGGCCTGTTGAGATATTTTGCTGGGCGTGGGGGCAGCACACAAAGCCTCCACCTCTCTCTGGCACTCAGAGCAGAGAGCCACAAGGAACACCCAGCCATTTTGAGCAACTTGAGACTGTGGCAGGCAGTGAGCCTGCTTCAGGGTCCTGCAGGGCTGCTACTGGCCACCACCTAAGTAAGCACCTCCCAGCCAGAGCCTGCCTCTGACACTCCAGTCCCTCCCTCCCCACAACTCCCCACCCCTGGTCACCACCCCCTCCTGCCCCAGATCACCATCCAAACTCTGTGTAACCCTCCCTCCCACCGTCCTACTCCTCTAGTCCACAACTCCTTTCCAGACCTTGCTCTCTCTCCTACACCCTTCCCCCAGGCCAGAATCCTCTCCTGCACCCATACCCCTTTCCCCTGCCCCAGGTCACAACTCCCTTCTTCATCAGAACTCCTTCTCAGGCCCCACATCCTCTCCTGCACCCCAGTTCCCTTCCCCAAGCTCCCTTCAGCCTCCATAAAGCCTTGATTGAAAAGTGCAGCCCTTGACCACTTGCCAAATCTTGGAATGGCCCCTCCATCAAAAATCATTACCCACCCTGAGAAAGGGGGATGCAAGTTGGCTCTTGCATCTCTGCTATAGGTAGTGGCTTTCTAAACCTTCTCACCTGAATGGGTGTGTTGCTCACAAAGAGAGCAATGCAGAGGGCTAGGGTCCTTCTCCTGTAAAATAGGGGAGTTTACCTTCCAGCAGAAGATGGGTGGTAGCAACAAGAATCAGTTCCTTAGTTGAGGGTCAGCTTCCCTTACAAACTATCCCTTACAAACTATCACAAGTTAATTTGTGGAACT